TATATATATATATGTATATATTACTTTTTTCTGCAGAGCATCTTGTAATAAATCCCGTCATATACCTCGTATTGGGAAGAAGATTTACACTGACTCCTACAGTTTACAAATATCTGGATGTCGGAATCGTGGACTTGTCTTTTGTGGAAATTGTAATTGGCGACAACCAAGATAACAACATAATCTTGCCTCGTGCAATGTGGCAGGCTTTCATCAAAAGACGCGCGAATATTGAGCGATTCGTGCAATCAATCGATTCATCATTATCGATCCAAAATCTAGTGACAGAAATCATAAAAATGCGTGATGTGAATATGGTCAAATTAACACTGCGCGAAATATCTGTATATGAAGTCAAACATACTCTTCATGTTCGAACTCAAATATTGCATCGAGAATGTATACTTTGAGTTGTACCAGTATATGCATATCGTCAATAAAAAATTTAAATATTTTGTAACACTTTTAGATAAAAATTGTATCATCGATAAATATAATGCTGTAGATTTTTGCGCAAAAATTTATAAAAAATCAAATATAGAATGTGAGTTAATAGTTTATGCTTTAAGTAATATTGTGAAAAGTAAATGTACATTTTATTGTTAATCGGAAGCAGGTGCTCAATTTGAAATTAATTAAATTAAATTAAATTAAATTAAGTTTCTGCTTATAAATGTTGTAAGAACTAATATAATAGCTATATATAATAAGAACTATATATTGTAAAATTATGTTATATAAAAGTAAACGCATATTTAAATTATATATCTAGGTATATGACATTATTTATTTCTTTCTTATTATCACAGCGCTATCATATTACGCATGCCGCCAGCATTTTCGTGCTCAACGGTACTGCGACAGACGATCACGACTATATTAAGCGTCTCTTTAAATCATTAAATAATTTAAATAAAAAATGTATGATAAAATATTTTTGCTTGCGAGAAAATACAAGCGAGAGCGACAACGCGGCGGATAAGATGACGAAACATAAGAGGAAAAGAGATGGTAAATATGTGCGATAAGTATATGCAAGCCTTTGTTATCGATGCATTTTTGGAGAGAGCGGTGATAGCGGTGAAAAATACAAAAGGCATAGTGAAACGTCATCATGTTTATGTAATCCATCGACTGAGATCCTGTTTTGTAAACAGAGATAGCATCTTCCCGCGCTTTCCCTTCTAAGCCCCGTGGATTAGAATTCGTCTATTACCTCTACTATCGATTTGAAGATTTTTATAATAGATTAGTACGTGCATGATAACTCTACGTAATTGAACCAGAACATTTAATGATTAGTGTTTTCGAAAGCGGGGGATTTGTAACTGTGAATAATGGAAAATATTATATAAAAACACAAACTACTACTAAAGCTCGGTAATCTTATTAAAATTTATATAAAAATTAGGATAATCTTTTTTTTGAATATCGTATTATACTGTTGCAAAATATATATTGAATATAACTAATTGTAATAAATAAGAGGACTGAATCTTATGATCGAAACGTCTATAATTGATGATTGACATGTATATAATATTTGATTACATGCGTACAATAATATTAACTCTCATTAGCATTATAAACCTTTAATGATTTGATTGTAAAGAATAAGATTTAAAATAGAAGACATAAAGTATCCAAACATTAAATATTGATTTTAAACTTCAATCTTCCAATATTTAACTACATCATCTTAAAAAATATATTTTATTTATTATAAATTTTATGCATATATGCATATATACATAATATACGTATAATACATCTAAGAGTCATCTAAGTCTAGTCAGTAATATGATTACAGTAATTGATAAATAACAAAAAAATATTCTATTTTTAATAAAAAATGGCACTCTCTGAAAATTATCTAGACGCTAATTTTATTTTTGTTTGATTGCATGAAGCATATATAAAGTAGATACACTAGACGATTGAGACCATCGTTTTGTGAATGGATTAAATTTCATACCATTGATCAATTTCGTTTCGCAATTATCTGCAAAAGAAAAGAATTAAGAAATACTTATATAAATAATTGCGAACATGTTATATAATATATAATTTTATATAGATATGATTTTTATATAATAAAATGTTTTCTTTAAATATATATTTTTTTAATTTAACAAGAATAAAACATGTCTATTAAGCAGCACCCTTCCTCCCCCCACAAAAAATCAAAATGGCCTTATGCCAGAATTAAGTGCTTTTTATATGCTAATTATGTGCTCTAATGCAAATTTTAGTGCTCAAACGGTTTAGCAGAAAATCGCGATTGAATGTGGGGGCCGTGCTAGTTTAACGTTAAATTAGCATCTCCTTCATTAAATTATAAAATAAAAAAATTAGTACAGCAAAATTATGTACTTTTTATGTGCTTTCAACATAACAGATTAAAGTAACCGTAATGATTTAAAAGATATACGGCCATAAAGCTTGATATAGATAATATCGATACAACAGTAAAATATCAGTACAAAGTCAGTATCAATTACAATAGATAGTGAATTGAGTGAATTGAGGCTCAAATTGTTCCTTCATTTTTATACTTTTAAAATATGCACAAGATTTTAATGCTCACCCCTTTTAACTGGAAAATCATTCTCGAAGTAATCCACCTTTCTACAAGAATAAAGCGCCAAGTTAAAATGAAGATAGCGAATTGGTTGTAAGCTTAAATTGTTTCTTCATTCATTTGTTCTCGAAATATGCACAACGAAATTTTGACGCTCATATCAAGGGAAGTGGATAGAGGATGAGTGATCACTTTGAGGGTGATTTTCCAGTTTCAAAAGGAATGAGCAAAATCTCATGCATATTTCGAGAGCACATAAATAGAAGAATATTTTAAGCCTACAACCAATTCGCTATCTGTATTGTACTAACTAGTACTATATTCTATCGATGTTATATGTATCAAGCTTTATTACCGTATATCTTTTAAAAAAATATCGTTACGGTTAAATTAATTTTTTATTTGATATGTTGAAATAAAACATAAAAGCACATAATTTTGCTGCATTAATTTTTTTATTTTGTATGTAATTTAATGAAGGAGTTGCTAATTTAACATTAAACTAGCATCCTCACATTCAATCGCGATTTTCTGCTGTATGAAACAGTTTCAGCACAAAAATTGGCGTTAGAGCATATAATTAGTACATAAAAAGCATTTAATTCTGGCATAAGCTATTTTAATTTTTTTGTGGGGAGGAGGGAATACTAATGTAACAAACATAAATAAAACTTACAGTTCTTTAATATATATTGAACTTTATGAGGAGCAATATATTTATTCCATTTCAAAGTACCGTAAGGTACACATTTCTTAATATATTCGACTGCAATAGTAAGTAGCCAAGATGTTAGAGTTTTGTTTATTGTAGTTATGAAAATTGATTTGCCAGGTTTTATAATTTTTACACATTCCTATAGATAATATTTGAAAAAATTTGATTTTTATGTAGTATTTATAAATCTAATAGTATTAATAAATCTTATATTTTTTTATTACAATGTACCTTTAAAAATAGTTGTGGATCTGATACATGCTCCAAAACTTCAGAAGCTACAACAGCATCATATGTGCTATTTTCGCTCTCCTTATTAGCAAACTCTTCTACGGTTGTGTGAATATAATTCACTCTTTCTGATATGTTGGGATCTAATTTTAAATGCTCTTTAGCAATACTTATTAATTCTGCCGATACGTCTATTCCAGTTACTTGAGCTCCTGCTCTAGCTAAACCCTCGGCCATTATACCTCCACCACAGCCAATATCCACAATCTTGATTCCTTTCAAAGGAAGATTTGAATTCTGTATTTTGATTCCAGCGTTTAATCTATCTTTCATAAACTGTATTCTGTATGGGTTGTATGAATGGAGAGCAGTTACTGGGCCGTTCTCGTTCCACCATAAATTTTTCATAATTGAAAAATGTTCAATTTTCTTAGGATCTATCGATGATGTTGATTTGTCTATTCTGTTGGCGTATATGTTTCTTAATCTGCAGTAAATAATTCAAACTTTCTTTTTAACTGATAAGATGCTTTTATGTGATTATATTATATAAAAATATTATATTATATAAAAATAAAATTAATTCTAGTCATGTATTACTATCTACTTATAGCATACAGATAAAATCTATAAGATTGAGATTAATATTTTTGATAATATGATTAAATAATTACATATTTATAATAATATGTAATTGATTATCATACTTATTTCGAGGAATGCTTTTCCATGATCCGTTGAAACATTTGACAATGTTTATAGTCATCATGTCTATATTTAAATACAGTTGTGTTTAATTTAAAAAATGAATTTTATCAGTTCTCCCACAAGCAACGAAAATAGATATCTGAAACACAACAGATATCTGAAACTTTTAAATAAATTTTACTGTAAAATCTAGATAGTTAGATCTATGATACAAAAAAATAACAATGACGTAAAATTACATGCTTTGTCACATAAAATTTGTACGTTAATATAAATACATAAAAAACTTTTATTTTTTGCTTACTATTTACTAGCTTAAATATTAATATTGATAAAAGAATGATTGATAAAAAGAATGATTATTTTGATAATTTTAAAGTTTGCACACAGGTACGCACACATACTAAATATAGATTTTACTAAATATATGATATTAGTAAATATTTTTAAAAAGCATGAATTTAGAAAAAATTTGGATATACTTTGATAATACTAGTTTACAAATTCTTTTAAATTTTGAATAAGATAATGTGTTTCTTATAGATATCGAAAATGATGCTGCAAATAAATAAATGCATTTTAGGGGATGAACGATATTCATGGCATCTAAATCGGGATTTCAAGATAACATTAACCTTCTTTACAAAAAAATGTTAAATATATGTCAGAAAAGTCATTATTGGACAAAAACCTTAATTATCTTGAAATGATGTATTGAAATTTTTTATCTTGCGACATTGTTTTCAGCATTTAAAAATATATAAGAAATAACATATATAAAAACATATTCTGAATCAAAGTAATTTCTTGCAATGAGCTATTGTAGAATCTTGCAATTTCGGAATGGAACACACCAACACGAAAAAATAAAAATAAACCAGGTACATATTTGTATATTATACTTTTTGATACGTGTTGGATTAAAATCAATTAAGACATAACAGAAATAAACGAAGGGAAAAAAAATTAACAGATATTCATATTTATATCCATAAATTAATACAGTATATCGATGAATTTTTTGCATTTTAAACATTTTGTATTTATAATATGTAAAATGATGACAAATGAGTATTTTTATTAAAATTTAAAATGCGATACGATAAATTACTTACTTTACAGTAATTGCTCCTACTTGTATTTATACTATCCCGTGTAAAGATTAAACTGATCTGATTTTAGAAATAGTGATGATAATAGTAATTAAATGATGTAAATTAAATCAAATTTTAAAATCAGATAACACTCATTATTTGCTGTTTGTAAATTTATTATCAATTATTTATGATCTAGCTAGCTATTAATCTGATTACCATATAATAGATGATAGATATGATGATTTTGTGGAAATAGCGATTGTTTGTAAATCTAATAATTATTTTGCTATAAACTTTTAAATAAGCTGCCAACTTTGCCTCCATGTTTGAAGATATCGCTATGGGCAGTGCCATATTTAAGTTCTTTTACTCACATATGTATAAATTACATGGATAATCACTGCACAATTCACATATTCGGAATCAGATTCATCTCTTTCTATTACATTGAGCCAGCAGTCTTTATATAAGTCTCTGTGGCTATTAACATTGTTTAATTAATGAATAAGAATTGTGGTTCTATTATTTAAAAAAATATATCTAATTACTAATTATTATAATAGAAAACTAAATAGAAAATGGGTGAGGAATTTTAATTATTAACCAAGCTTACTGACTAGATACTACTAATTAAATTAGGCGTAGTTTGTTTAGAAAAAGGTTGATTTTCTTATCGCCTCTTTTGTTTATTATCTCAATTCTCTTATTCTCCTGCTAATTTTTTTTTATAACTGCTAATTGTCTATTTTTGAATTTTTTTAACTAGATATGCAGAGTGTTTGGTAAAGATCGTAACAACGCAAAGATAGATCTTTGAGATTATTTTGAGACGAAAATGAATATCTCCTCAAATATTAAGGCTATAATAGATTATAATTTTTTTAATGATTAATTAAAGTTATATAACGAATTATACTGTCTGAAATTCTTCATGTCTTCAGATACAATGCAATTCAGTATACAATGCAAAATATCAATCACGTTTGACAATGAATTGCGCGAATTAGGCGATATGACTTGTGAACTTTTTAAATGCTTATAATTTAAAAACTATTATAGCTCCAATATTTTGGTATCAGAATTTTTGTCTCCAAATAATCTTAGGAATCTATCCTTATGCGTATTACGATCTTTGCCAGATATTCTGTATTTATATTTTGTATTCACAATTGAACAAAGTTTTCTTTCTTGAATATTTATTTTTGTATCAAATCTCTGAATTAATTATATATTTTATGCATTATTATACTTTTTTGTTGTTGATCTAAGAAATGTATTGATCTCAAATCAATGAAATATTGTATTTTGAGCAAAATTATTCTAAGTTTTGATAATATTGTCCCAAAGTTTCAAAACAATTTTTAAAATTTTTATTAAATTAAAGAAATTTTAAATATTAATTCAAATTATTCCTTTATTTTGTATAAACATTTTGTATAAAAAGGAAAAAGCATTAATAGCAGAAATAATTAATAGGTTTTTAAAATTTTCTTTAATAGATAGAAAAGTATCAAATTTTTACACCAAAGTTATCTCATTTTATGATACTTGAGAATTTTTTTTTAATTAATTGCAATTTTTTATTAGATACATTTTTATTAGAATTTTTCTTACGTATGACATCTAATTTACTTTAATGATAGATTTACATATTTTTCTATGAAAATATCGTGTGTGTCACGTAGAGTTCATGCTCAAGTTCATAGTTATGCATGTCAATGCATAACTAATGAAGCATTTACATTTAGTTTATTGAATTTTTTTATTGCACAGCTGATTATTAATAGCAATTTTTGTTATTAGAATTATTAAATTTGACACATAAGTAACACTTTCACATTTGAGTAACAACATGTAAAATAATTACGCTGAAAGAAAAATATGGTTGCAAATCATAATTTATATAACAGGATCTTGGCTGAGACAATATTTTTCTCAATAAGTTTTTTATAGAATTAATTTAGGGGAGATTATTTTATATATAGAAATGTTTGAGTTTTCAGCATCTTATTATATATATATATATATTAGGTGTAGTAAGAAAAAATCCATTATTTTTCCATTCAATTTCATGCAAAAATAATGGATTTCTTTTTACTATACCTAATATATTAATAATATATAAT